CACATTTGATAATATTTTTCCCATTGTTGGATGAGCTTAAAGGGACCTTTTTGGCCCCCAAATTACCCAGTATTCTCCTGGGCTTTCCACCCTCCCCAAAAATGACATCAGTTATATAGAACAGTTATTTCTTTGGTCTAAACCTGTTTCCTTGACACAGGCAGAGGCAATTTTTCAGGTCAGGATTCCAGACCAGCCTGCCAGTAGCCTTAAGACACAGGGAGTGCTGCTCCTGCTCACACCTGAATGCTCCATACGTCCCCTCCTCCCCACTGCTCTCCATGCACTCGCCTGCTGCTACCTGCCTTTCTGAGCCAGGCCCAGGGCACCTCTCTGCCTGTCTTTCTTCTGCTGAGGATTATGGTGCTTCAGCCCACACACTTCTGATAGGGCTTTGGATAATGGCTTTTGCTGTTCCTGCTGTCACTATATGAGAGCCATTTAATTGCATCTTCCATTCAGCCTGAATAAAGGGTGAGTAGGACATCTATTTGCTTTGACCAGGCTTGTGATTGATGCAACTGTTAATACTATCCAGCGTAACACAATCTTCCCTCACCTCCCAAGGATGCTCTGTGGGTAACATGTCCCTGTGTAACTTTTTCAAGGACAGACAGAAAGTGGTATAAAAGGTGAGAGATGGCAGTGGAAATGCCAGTGAGCTTCTGCCCCTCTGCTGAGGTGTTACCTCTTCCCAGCGTCTGTCCCACCTTCCACAGCTGCCTTTGGCGTCAGCAGAAAAGGTGCTGGTTCCTTGCTCAGCAATCATTTCTAATGGACCACTGGCAAATTCTCTCTGCAGATCTGCCTGCAATGTCCTAGGGTCATCTTTCCCCCTGGGAGAAAGCCAGGAGAGACACCTTCTGCCGTTAGGCATATAATGAGCTTTCATTCTTTCAGGTAAAGCTGAGGAAAGTTATCTTCTCAACAGGCCCTGTACTGAGCAATCCCCTGTCACTTGTCTTGACATGGTGAAGTTGTCAGGGATGGCAGGTCCCTCTTCCTTACCCTCAGTCCAATCAGACACCATGTCATATGCTTTCCCCAAAGCTAGGCAGAAAGACAAGACCCCTCTCAGGCCTAGACATGTGTCTTTGGAGGCAACTACACCCAGAGAATAAAAAGCATAGGACAATAGTAAAACCAGTCCAACTTGTATTACATTCATGGTGCCACATAACAGCATTTAAGCTCTCCTTCAAAAGTCCTGGGAAAATACAGCAGGAGTAAGGAGGCAGGAAGGGAAGGAAGGGACAGAGAAAGAGGCTGTGACTATAGCCATCAGGAGAGTCACAGGGCTGTCAGGGAGGCTCCTGGGATCAAACTTCTTTACTCCCTGTTCTGCACAAATCCACCCCTGGGCCTCACCACAGAGTGTATATAACTGTTTCCCTTTTTAGCAACCTCAGTAGAGCTGGCTGCATTCAGAGATTTTCAGTTAAAGACCACCACAGAGTTACAGCAGTTTACACATGCTGCAGGGTTGTTGTCCTAACACAGCACACAAATAAGCACAGCTCATAAATAGCAGTCAAACCACAACTACCTGCAAATGTAGGGGTGCTGCAACAAGGTAAACTGAGCATAGCAGTAGCAACACAGGCAGGAGATATCCTACACTATGAGTACTGCTGGTGCAAGACGTGGCTGGTGCACTGCAGATGTTGGCTGTAATGTGGTCAAAACAGCAGGGGAGGCAAAGAACCTCCCAGCATTTGCACACAGGGATTCGGTGGCCTTACCTTCAGCATAGAAACAATCTCATTACCTTTGTGCAGTCAACAAGCACTCCTATCAATAGGAACATATCTCAGGTACCCTAAAGTGTCATTAGTCATTCAAGAATCAGCAATAGGTGGTAAGTAGGACTGGACAGCTATGTACTATTGCAGTCAGTGCCACTGACTGTGTAGGACAGGACAGAGACAAGCTTCCTTCATACATGTGCTTATTTTCTTTTTTGATTTCTGACGAACATCAATGCTGGTGATGGTATACATCCTCTGGCTTTGCTTTGGGATGTGCTGCCCAGTATGTTTTGCTCTGAGCACTGGGCTTTTTCCCTACCAACACGCTGAAGCGTGTGTCAGCCTTTGCTATGTGGCTGCTGCTGCCCTAACAAACAAACCAGGATCAGGCCAAATAGACTGGTCTGTGACTTGCTGCCAGAGACAGGTTGAGTGTCTGTCCTCACCTGCCTCCTCCAAGGTCCTCAGTACCTCTGTCTTCTGCCACTTGCTTCCCACTACCTATTGCAAATGCTCACAAGCCTGTGCTGTGTTATTTGGAGCAGATCATTCTACTCTTTTGGACCCCTCCCGAAGATTACTATCTACAACGAGATGAGATTGGGAAGTGCTGAAAAAATCCTTAGTGCAAAATATTTATTTTTAGAGTGCAAAATATTTATTTTTAGTAGAAAATAACAGAAGAAATATACTAAACATTTTGAAAGCTTTTTAAAAATTATTAAAAGAGCTATAAGCCTAACTGGAGTCTTTGCAGGAAAATGGGAAATACAATAGCAGTGGGAGGCCCAAGGGAGATGAAGTTTAGAAACTTAGAGAATTATTGTAAAACTATCAATCCTGGGATATAGAAAGATAATTTAGATACTGTAGAGCCTCACAGTGCTTTCTGCTGTTTCTGTCATAATTTTCTGCCATGTTATTTTCTGTCAAGTCTCACAATATTTCTATAATGACTAACCCATTTGTTTCCCCAAAACTTATCTTTGAAAATTATACACAAGGTCAGAGTTACACAACTGAACACTCCATTTATTATCAGGAACAAGAAAATCTGTCTGGGCCACATCACCAGTTGTAGCTGTCCACCTAATAGGATGAAATAGGTTGCAGAGAAAGTAACTGAGCGCTGAAGAGATGCACTGCAGGTGACAGAAGAAGAGTGATAGGAGTAAAATCAGCAAAACTAAACGAAAGAGAAGATATATCATTGGCAACAAAACCAAATCAAGCTAATGTCTTCTCAAAGCAAGATGGGTAAAATAGGGTGACTCTGTAAATGAAGTCATTTGACGAAAGATCTCTATAGCAGATCACTTTATTCATAAAAAGATCTGATTGATATTCTTTGCAACTGGAGTTCATCCCAATACACAAGCATTTTCAAAGGGACAAAAATAAAATTCTGCCTATCTAGCAAATACTTTCATTCCTAAAATGTGCTAATACCACAGGTTGCAACATTTATTGTTAGTGCTTTCCTACATGTTTGTGTGTGTGCTGCTGCATCTCCCAGTCTGGCATGCAGAAGCATCACCAAAGCAAGCTGAAACATTTACTAGAGCTTGTCACAAAATATAGCTCAGCTCTGAATCCCTGAGCTGTGGGACAGTCCCACTGAAGTTGACAAGAATCACAATGTTGAAATACCTGAATTTTCTGCAGGTCATGAATTCTGCCTTTTGAGGAACTCTGATCCAGTACCAGTGGGGTGCATTGGCTCATACCATGGGAAGGATCACACACATGGAAAACCTAAAAATGTTGGTGCCTCATGAAAACACCAATGGTGAAAACGTGACCAAGGACACGCTTCAGGGCTCATTTAAGTGATGTGATATTTTACGAATCTCATCTCGGTAGAGGGCCTGTCTTCAGAAGGGGTGTAATCAATAAATCAGGTGCCAATTGTATTTATTCTATTTGTCAACTTGTACTCCACTCCAGCATGCCTGGGCCAGTGAAGAGAGCTGGGGCTGTCTTTGCTGGACCTCTCACGTGCCCGACTCTGAGTTAGGGTTTCCTGTCTGGCAGCTCAGAGGAACTCAGCTCCATCGCCTCCTTCCAGAGGGAGAAGGGAACTGGAAAGAAAGTAGCAATAGGAAATCCCACACATGGGAGTCAGGGGACCGTGAAATGCCAACGCAGGGTGCAGCGTACTGCTTGTCAGGGACAAACTAAGGAAGTCATGCCCCAGTGCCCAAGCAAAAAGATCAGGATCTTGGGCTTGAGGTCTCCTGGAGATTTGGTTAGGTCTGTTGAATGGCTGAAACTCTGAAGCATCATAGACAGTGCAGTGCTTGTAATTTTGGTTGGCGCATGGCAGGCATGCAGGCAGAGTGGGAGATCCAGGCATCTTAGAGTATAGCAAGAAATAGTAACTGTGCTGTTGAGAGATTTCTTCACCTCGTACTGAAGAACTATGTTATTAAAGACCTGATGCAATGTACATTGAAGTCCAGGGGAGACTTAATGCTGCACTCAGTGTGCTTTGGATCAAGCTTTAACATCCCACTTACTAATTCACAGCAACCATGTTCCCTTTCCACACCAAGCACATGCTAATACCAGCCCATATTTTCTGCAGCCACCCACCGCCCCATCAGTCCCCGAGCTGACAGCGGCGAGGCTGTGGGGCTGCCCAACTGCCTGCTGCTGGTGCAACCCCATACTCCACACACCCCCAAAAATTCACCCCATCTCCAGGTGCAGTCTGAGACATCAAACAGAACACCAGCCAGGCTTGGAAACAGCTCTCTGCAAATTTAAGAAGTCTGAGAGATTTTTGTGTTTATAAAAAAGAGAAATCAGGTGAAATAAGCCTGAGAGACTTACCTTGCATTTAGACCTGGATTATTGTTTGTGCTGTTTTTCCTCTCCATTCTCCTGCACACATACGGTGACGGGGGGTAAAATGGAGGAACATAAGAGCTGTAAGAAGTGTAATTGATGGCAAAAGAGGTTCAAATGTGTGCACCAGATCCAGACAGTCTCCAAAATGTAATCCTTGTTTGTCTATATGATGGGAATAATAGCCTTCCTCACAGGGGTACTGGGAAGATCAATAAATAGTTAATGTTGGTCTAGGGAAATGCACGATGCCTGCAGTGTAAATCAGAAGTAACCCGTTGAAATGCATGTAGTTACATATGGATAGACCCAATGTAAAAATGAGCAGATGCAATTTCCTTAAAGAACAGTGGTAGTTGCCCTGTAAACACAGGGACAAGATTCTGTGCTGGTGTAAATCTGCATCATTTAATTGACACTGCTGGCAGTATATGAGTTTAAACAAGAGCAGACTCCAGCCCCTGATACCTGCTGGTCACATAGCCTTTAACCATGCCTGTAGCTTTCCCTTTTCACGCTCTCCCTATTCTGGCTTCAAATATCTCCATTTCAGAGTCCCAGTATCTCATCAGTGCTTTATCTTCAACAGATTAGAATAAGCAACACCAGTACAGGGGTAAGTTTTTAATTGTTCATATATTTTTCAACTCTCATGCCCACAAGGTTTCATACTGTTTTACATAGTTATTCTGGAGAAAATACCTGTTCCCTATGCACAAGGCCAGCTTCTCAAAGGGAAAGCATGTACAGCTTTTGGTGCAGGCACCTCTCGCCATACCTCTGAAGTATGTCCATGATGATCTATTCCAGCTCATAATATTAGGGAATAATACAGCAATTTCTGTGATACTATAAATTCTAGTCAAGAAATCAAATGCTGAGAGCAGCTGTGAAGGGTGCTCAGTGGAGATGAGGGGTGAGGACGGTGTCTTGCTTGGGGTTAGACCGCCAGACTGAGTCTGTGCATCCTCTGGGAACATAAAGGAAGGCAGGTGAGGGCCCACAAAAGGCATTTTTGCCACAAGCAGGGCAGTCTCTAAGGAGATAAAGGAGCAAAAATTCCTGTGAATCTAAGCTGAGCCAAAGGACTGTTGTAAAAGGGGGATAAGGAGAATATAAACAGATTCCTGGTCTGAGCAGAGGTGTTGAGCACTCAGCCCCTGCAGCCCCACAGCCTAGAAACATGATTAACCCCCACAGGTCTTCTAAGGGAAGAGAGGAGCCATTTCCAGTGGGATTCTCCTTCCCCCCTTTTGTCTGAGTGGAAATACAAATGTATGAATACATATATTTGCCTGTATGTATTCCCTCAGGGAGTGGCAAAGGGGAGGTTTGCACATGTGAGTGCAGAGATGTGATCTCCTGAAAGGATACCAGGGCTGCATATTTTGATTGCCAGCTCTGTAGGCTGCTGTTTAATTTTCCTCTCCTGCTCAGGTATGTGCACTTTGAGGGAAGGCTGGGAAGCAGGAAACAAATAGCAGTGCTTTTCACAGAAGTTGTCTACAGTGGAACCTCTGTCAGTCCTCTGCGAGACTGTATTTACAGAGGACAGCCCCTTACCTGCTCATGTCCTTTTTATCCTGCCATGCCATTGTGTTTGCTGTCTGACCAAGTGTTACTGGAGCTTTGGCAGCCAGAGGTATGAGGAGGATGAAGAAGAATAAGAAGGTGAACCCAAACTCACCTAAAATACAGTCCAAGGGGCTCAAGCAGGGCAAAGCATCAGCATCACTCCACATTGGGACTGGCCCTGAAGCCAGGGTGAGGTGGACTGTGGGACATTGCTCCCCAGCTGAGGAAGACTGTGGCCACCAGCAGCAAGTTTCCCACTGTCACGGCTGAGACATAGCTTAGAGGCACCACCTCAGACACCAGAAAGAGCAGCCTCTCACTCACTCAATGCTTGCCTCTCTGTGGAGAATGATAAGCCAGATTGCTTTTTTGTGATGTGGACATCTGACCGCTGGGAGCTGTCTGGAAACTGCACTAATTTCTTGTAAGGCTCTGAACCGGCATCAGCCAGGAATAACTTTCAATCACTGCTGACCTGGGCTGCATTTGGACTGGCAACTAGGGGGTGGAAGGCAGTGTATGTCCCTTCTCCAATTCAAACCTATGAGCTATCGAATGCCCCATGGGACTCTGAAATTCATGCAACGTGTCTATTAAAACATGCAGAGGTTTGTACTCACACAGATGAGTGTGCCCTTTTCTGGATTGACTGAGAAAAGAGGAAATTCCTCTGACCCAGTATAAATCAAGGAATCGCAGTTACAAGCAGTGATTAGATGCACTTCAAACACCTGTTAATGACAGGGAAAGATCTGAAGGGAAGCAGCAAAAGTTTTAGCTAAGATGAACTGGCTGGATAGGCAGGGATCTGCTGGCTTTCCTGAGGAAAAGGAGACAGGAGGCAGAGAGTGGGAGTGGAGGTGTGTATTCCGGGTAGGGAGAGGAAGAAAAGCCTGGCACATTTGCCAGTAGCAAATTGGGCTCCCGCATGGTCTAATTCCTGCTTCACCACAGACTGCTAACACAGCTTGGATAAAAAGGGAAAAAGGGAGAAAAAAATCTATGCAGGAGGCTGCAAGAGCACATAGAGTCTGTTCTGAGCTCCTTCCACAGGCAGACAGAAATCAATAAATCAATAGGAAATGTTCGCTGGCTGTAAAATGGGTAGAGAAGCCAGTGTCAAGCTGCTTTAAGATGGATGGACAGTAGGTTTGCAGTTTGCAGAAAGGCTAGAGGTGACTATCACCTTGAGATGGGATCAGCGGCCAGCAGCCCAGCAAGGCTTTGAACCTCGAGTTTATGATTAAGGGCTGGGGCACGGATTGAAATACTCCAGTGTCCCCTGCACAGCCCTCCCGGGCTCTGCTGGCTCTCCTCCTCGGCAGCACCAGTGCGCTGGCAGTGGGACCCGGCAGCTGCCGGCACTGGCCCTGCTGTGCCACTTCATTGAAGTCGAGTCTACAGAAGACTGAATAAAAATTGACTAGATGCCTGGTGGTAGTGAGGATTGATTGAAGACGGGCAGGGGTTTTCTACCCCACAGTTGGATTTTTTCCTTTCTATGAAGGATTTGACATAATGTAGGCAACAATTCCTATTCAGAGTATTGCACCTTCATTCTGTCCTTAATGAGACAAGCACCAGGACATGAAGCAGTGCCAATGTTGCTTAGGGAGAGCTGGCATGAGTGGCATCCTTCTTTTCTTTTAAAGGCAAAGTACTTGCAGGGGGTGGGACAGCTGTACTTGCAGCAGGCTTGCTGTGTGTCTCCATGTGTCCATTCAGGTCCAGAGGGTGACTGCTCTTCAATGTGTATTTTTCAAATGCAGAGATGATCTCCACTGTGGTGTGGCTCCTGCAGAGACAGACAAGCAGTCTAGCTTCAGGCTTCCCCACTTCCACAGCCTTCCCTCCAGGACTTGCGTTTCTTTCGGTTTCCATGAACTGCTGCTTATCCTGTTCTTTGAAGATAGATGTGCCCTCTTAACCTCTTGTAACGGAGACTCTCTCTTTCATAGCCCTCAGAAGCAACAGATTTGCGGCCAGCTTCTTCTTCTCACCAAATAAGACTATTGCAATACCACCATTGCCGCATGTACTGGGCATTACTATTGCTTCTCTGCAGGTCTGCTGAAAGGTCTGCCCACCACCCGGCTGCCCACACTGAGCAGGACCTTGGGCAATGCAGTGAGGGGGATTTCTGCCCAAGGCTAGCATTATACCAGATTACTTCCTTTCATTCATCTGCAGATTTTCCAAGACAGACTTCAGCTTGTATGTGCAGCATACACAGATGAAGTATAAAGGGTAGAAAAACTCCCAGGTTCTTTACTTGCATTTAGTAGCTTACGTTCATGCACTATAGTATTGACAACTAAATATGTGTATTGAATTAGTATGCTTTGGTGTTAGTAGTCTGACTTCAATGAACTGTACCCAAGAAATGTAAAGTTTAGTTTACAAGGTTTTCTTTCATTCACTCTGCTAAGTCAACAGTCTGCTCATTTTAAATAGAATTTGGGCAAGAAAAGGCCAGATTTTGGTACATAGATTATAATAGAATAAAAATTGAAGTCCAATCTGGTGAAATGGGATGTGGTATATTCCCTAAATGCTCCCCAGAAGTTACATGTCACATTTTTGTAATGCTGGTTAATCAAGAATTTCATTTTCTGGAGTGTTTTCTGATTCTTTATTTCACTCAGATTTACTAAGTCTTACAGTGAAACTCCCATTAACAAGCTCAACTAGGGCTCTGCAAGTCCAACAGCAATCTGAAACTGGGCACTCTGAGTGCATGAGGTAGTCAAGTGAGTGATTCTGGATAGAGAAGCCACAGAGATACTGTCCTGGGAGATCAGCAGGAGCCAAACTGGGGCTTGCTTGGCATAATGGAAACCATCTGTGAAGAGATTTTTGTCTACTTGCCTACTTGTGAAAAACAAGAAATTCTGGAAAACTGGTGTCATTGCTTTGGACTTCAATATCTGTCATCTTGGGCTGTGCTGACCACTAACACTCTCCTCTTCTGAGGAGAGAACAGGTGCATCCTAACACCGGGCAAAAGAAAGGGAAAAGACTACAAAAAGCCAGGTGTTCTGGAACTGCCCCTTCCTACAGGTTACATATACAGGCCAACTAGCTGGCTCCACAATGCTCTGATTTATTCCAGGAATGTTTATGGGAAGCTGCATGAATGCCACACATCAAAGCACAGCTTGGCATTTGGTGTCCAAAAAGGCAGACCTAGATGCACCAGCTATGGTTATTGGAGAAAGATCAAAATAAAAACCCCTCCACTTGTTAGTAATGCAAAATAATAAAAAAAAGAGCCAGAATAAAAGCCAACTGAGTAAAGTAACTAATATAGAGTGCTAACAGTGATGAAAGGGAAGGTTTGCTCTCCTTTAATTTCCTGTTAGCTTTCTGATTTAGGCTGTGTGATCCTCTGCAAAATATCCACTTGCTGTAAGAAATTTAAGAAATGAGAAAATTTATTAAGGGGGAAAAAAATCTGCCTAATCTCTGTTGGATGGGCCAGTGCTATTGTCAAAGTTGGATATGACAAAGGTGTGAACAGTGATGGAAATGGAAACAGGCCTCATCAATACTTAGCTGTTGCAGCAAAAAGTGGGTTACCCAGATGAACTTCTGCAGAAATCATCTGCAGTATTTGGACCTATTGAAGTTAATGGGAGCTTCAGCTTTGAACAGACTTTGCCTCAGTCTCTTCAGAATACAATCCCAGGATTGTCCTCTTTTACTACTCACATATTAGTGCCCAGAACAACAGCTACACTTTATTACAAACTTATTTTATGGCTTCTAGGCTAGGTACATCACAACAACGATGAGGAAAGGCAGCGTTTTCCATCTGAACGCTCCCCCTTTGCCGCCGCCAGTGTACAGTGCAACCACAGACTGCAACACCAGTCCCACTCATCTGGAGCAACAGCAGATGCAATAGCAATTAGCGATACCTTCATTAAGCAGTGAACTTCAGAGGCCTTCATGTTACATGAGCTCGCTCTACACTCATCCCATGAACACTTGGATGTTATGTTGAGATACAGATAAGGTTTTGCTCCAAAGAAAGCCTATTTGGTGAGGTGGCCCATGACACAGATAGTATGTGTATTGCCTGATAGCAGTGGGGTGTTTCAGATATGCCCATGCCTACCAAAACTTTCTGAAAAAGAAGTCAGCTGCAGCCAGTTGTGAGATCTGATACACAGAAAGAGAAACACAGATCTCTGCAGTTAAACTCCTTAGCAAAGTTAGGAACCATGGAATAAAGTCTCTACTAGGGGAAGTAGAGGGCAACTTAAATTTCAGGTGCAACTGTTAGGAGACACACACACACCTGCTCAGGCAGCATAAAATAAGCAGAGGCTTAACAAGGGCTTTTCAGTCCAAGTGCATTGCTTGTGCTTAGCCTAATTTAGATCGGCTGGTAGCAGTCCTTCCTAAGGTAAGGAGAATTTGGTTTCTCTCTCTCATGCTGTATGATTGTTTTGTAGATTTTTTTAGTTCATCTGTGGTGGAGTGGAGGGCTTGTAATGAAAAATTCATTAAATTAGTTACTTTTGTTCTATTTTAAATCACTTGGAAATAGATGTTGACTGATTGATTTGCTTGTGGCTTGAAGTGGTGTTATGCTCTCTATGCAAACATAGTGTATCCTGTAGGAGGCTTTGCTATGTATCTTCACTGCGTCTGCTGTCTTTGTTATTAATTATGCTTGGTAAATTCATAGTGCAAAGTGTAGAATGTATTTTCTGGATGCCTAGCACGAATTTCAGTTCCATATGTGCTTTTTAAAGCAAGATATTTACTTTATAGGAAACAAATTGCAACATAACTAGTTGAGGAGCCTTGCTTTTGCTGTGCTATGTTCACTCGGATGTGAGAGATCCTCAGGTTTAGCCAGAAATATTTACAGATATAGATACTAATCTTGAAATGAGTCTGTTAAATAGAGTAAATAGTTATGTGTTGGTGTTGGTCTCCATCTGCAAAATCTCATTAGAAGCTCAGGGCCTTAATTTTTCTGTTCAATAAAAAATAGCTGCAAATCCCACAATACTTTCGGGCACCTTTTGTCTCAGTTTGATTAAAGCCTGCTTTTCTTGAATTATTTTTTTAGAAAATCATTGTTATTTTTAAATTATTCTTCACATTTGTTTTTTTTTTCCAGTGCTATCCATATTTCAACTTTTTTAATCAGAAATGTCTGACAAAGCACATCAGTTGCTAGGTTTATTTGAATACATAAATAATTATAAGAGAAAAAAGTAATTTCCTTTCAAAAGTAATGAAGAAGATTTCATGTCACTTGGTACAAGAGGAAACAATACAGCAGAAGCAAATATTTCATATATTGAGTAACAATGAGTTGGCACATAATCATCTGGTGTATAATGAGAAGGCATTCGTAATTCATTCATCCCACTTAGTCTTTCTTTCCTCACCAGTCTCATACAAACAGCAAATCCCCCCATTTCTCTTAACCGTTTACTCTCCTTTTATTCTTGTTTTCCATTATTTCATTTTTCCTGGTGTTTTACCGGCGCTTGGTGCCTAAAGCCCAGCAAAGGATTTGTTTTGCTAGTATCCCACCTGATATTTCTTCCTGTTTAATGTGGGCAAATCAAGGCACATCCCTAATTGTGCAGCGGTGGGAGCCATCCCTGTGAACACCTCACCAGTGCTTTTAGAACGAAGCCAGGAGTCGCTCAGGCTGAGACAACAGTTTCCTTTTGAGATTACTCAGCTTCATAATGGGTGTCGATAATTTCCTTCTCCAGCTTCTCCTACAAGATTAATTGGTTTAGTACCTGAGCCTCTGTAAATAGCAGGTCCAAAGTATTACACTAGAGCCCAAAGCTGGCTCTGCATTTGGCATGGGGAGAATCTGCTTCCCAAGCCCTGTGCCAGAGTGGCACATGGGGCAGGCGGGCAGCATGCCGGTGGCTTCCTACTGCCAGAGCTGTGTTTGGAAAGCAGTGGCTGTGCAGTCTGCATGCCCTTGCCCACCTCTTTGCTGGGTGTACACGTCTGTAGGCAGAAGCGGGAAACTGGCTGAACACTGATGGAATCATAAAAACCATGATCTTATCAGGGTGTATGTTGCTGATAAGAACCTACTTCTGACTTACAAATGGTTTGGCACTGCTGGCAACACAAAAGCCAGAAATACAGCAGCCTTTCCCACAGTGGGGGTGCCATGCTTGTGGCTAATAACATTTAATGCTTAGACAAGCAGATGCAGGGCAACAACTCTCCCCTCTACGATTCCCTCCTGCTCCCCTCCCCCAGATCCCTCCTGCCACTTGCTGACGCCATTTGCCTGGGACTGGAGGTGTCTGCGAGCTCTGAAAATTGGATCACAGGGATAGCTCTTTGCTGGCCCTGGTCACGCTGACGGCAAGACTCGATCAATCAATACTCTGTGTGACACTTTCAGAATTCATTGGAAATGATGTCCTTTCCAAATGACACCCACATTTTATCAAGGGCAGCTCCAACAGCAAAGCACCAAGTGTGTTTTCACAAGATACGTTTTGTTAGTAGTAAACTTCACTTTATTTGTAAGGTTCTCTGTATTTGGAATTTCTCCATCTTTCCCTTCAACCTCCCTTTTGAAGAGGGCAGAGATTTAATCTTTAAAGGTAGCTTTGTAGCCTGACATTTAGAGTGTGAGCCGCTCCTAAGCCTGATGTTTATTATGACATATGGCCTCTTCATGTAAAAAACAGTAAGCTTCGGGGGAGAATTTAAAAAGTAGCCTGAAGCTCATAGCACACAGCTAAAAACTGATTCACAATTTCATCCAAAATATTATGACTTCTGGGC